GTGTACTGTTTGTCCTTGCCGAATGGCTGGAAGTGTTGCAGGTATCTTGGGATATCTAATCAAGTTGCAGTGTTATTTTTCATGGCTGTTTCTATAAGAACAGCAAATGCTAATGCTATTGCTATATGCTTTAGCAAATAAAACCTAGTGCATTTTATTTTCATGGCTGTTTCTATAGGGGCAGCAAGTGCTCTATTGCTATATGCTTTAGCCAAAAAATAGTTCATTTAATTTTCATAGCTGTTTCTATAAGGACAGCAAGACTGCTATTGCTATAAGTTTTAGCAAATGCTACTGCTATTGCTATATGCTTTAGCAAATAAAACCTAGTGTATTTTATTTTCATGGCTGTTTCTATAGGGGCAGCAAGTGCTCTATTGCTATATGCTTTAGCAAAAAAAAGTGCATTTAATCTTCATAGCTGTTTCTATAAGGACAGCAAGTGCTATATAGCAAAAAATGTAGTGTACCTATTCTTATTTTCATGGCTGTTTCTATAAAGGACAGCAGTGCTATTGCTATAATATGCTTTAGTAAACAAATGGTGCATTAAATTTTCAGAGCTGTTTCTATAAGGACAGCAAGTGCTATATAGCAAAAAATGTAGTGTACCTATTCTTATTTTCATGGCTGTTTCTATAAAGGACAGCAGTGCTATTGCTATAATATGCTTTAGTAAACAAATGGTGCATTAAATTTTCAGAGCTGTTTCTATAAGGACAGCAAGTGCTATATAGCAAAAAATGTAGTGTACCTATTCTTATTTTCATGGCTGTTTCTATAAAGGACAGCAGTGCTATTGCTATAATATGCTTTAGTAAACAAATGGTGCATTAAATTTTCAGAGCTGTTTCTATAAGGACAGCAAGTGCTATATAGCAAAAAATGTAGTGTACCTATTCTTATTTTCATGGCTGTTTCTATAAAGGACAGCAGTGCTATTGCTATAATATGCTTTAGTAAACAAATGGTGCATTAAATTTTCAGAGCTGTTTCTATAAGGACAGCAAGTGCTATATAGCAAAAAATGTAGTGTACCTATTCTTATTTTCATGGCTGTTTCTATAAAGGACAGCAGTGCTATTGCTATAATATGCTTTAGTAAACAAATGGTGCATTAAATTTTCAGAGCTGTTTCTATAAGGACAGCAAGTGCTATATAGCAAAAAATGTAGTGTACCTATTCTTATTTTCATGGCTGTTTCTATAAAGGACAGCAGTGCTATTGCTATAATATGCTTTAGTAAACAAATGGTGCATTAAATTTTCAGAGCTGTTTCTATAAGGACAGCAAGTGCTATATAGCAAAAAATGTAGTGTACCTATTCTTATTTTTATGGCTGTTTCTATAAAGGACAGCAGTGCTATTGCTATAATATGCTTTAGTAAACAAATGGTGCATTAAATTTTCAGAGCTGTTTCTATAGGGGCAGCAAGTGCTATATAGCAAAAAATGTAGTGTACCTATTCTTATTTTTATGGCTGTTTCTATAAAGGACAGCAGTGCTATTGCTATAATATGCTTTAGTAAACAAATGGTGCATTAAATTTTCAGAGCTGTTTCTATAGGGGCAGCAAGTGCTATATAGCAAAAAATGTAGTGTACCTATTCTTATTTTTATGGCTGTTTCTATAAAGGACAGCAGTGCTATTGCTATAATATGCTTTAGTAAACAAATGGTGCATTAAATTTTCAGAGCTGTTTCTATAGGGGCAGCAAGTGCTATATAGCAAAAAATGTAGTGTACCTATTCTTATTTTTATGGCTGTTTCTATAAAGGACAGCAGTGCTATTGCTATAATATGCTTTAGTAAACAAATGGTGCATTAAATTTTCAGAGCTGTTTCTATAGGGGCAGCAAGTGCTATATAGCAAAAAATGTAGTGTACCTATTCTTATTTTTATGGCTGTTTCTATAAAGGACAGCAGTGCTATTGCTATAATATGCTTTAGTAAACAAATGGTGCATTAAATTTTCAGAGCTGTTTCTATAGGGGCAGCAAGTGCTATATAGCAAAAAATGTAGTGTACCTATTCTTATTTTTATGGCTGTTTCTATAAAGGACAGCAGTGCTATTGCTATAATATGCTTTAGTAAACAAATGGTGCATTAAATTTTCAGAGCTGTTTCTATAGGGGCAGCAAGTGCTATATAGCAAAAAATGTAGTGTACCTATTCTTATTTTTATGGCTGTTTCTATAAAGGACAGCAGTGCTATTGCTATAATATGCTTTAGTAAACAAATGGTGCATTAAATTTTCAGAGCTGTTTCTATAAGGATAGCAAGTGCTATATAGCAAAAAATGTAGTGTACATATTCTTATTTTTATGGCTGTTTCTATAAAGGACAGCAGTGCTATTGCTATATGCTTTAGCAAACAAATAGTGCATTAAATTTTCATGGCTGTTTCTATAAGGACAGCAAGGTTGCTATTGCTATATGCTTTAGCAAAAATAGCTACTAGCTTCTATAAAATGCTAGTTACTAGGCTATACACTGCCCAAAGATGTCATTTCTATACGGATGGTATCTTTTAAGCTAGTAGCAATTTAACTATAGATTAAACAGTGGTGCATGTTCTACATGTAAATATTTTTGCATTTGTGTGTTCATTTGAGGCATTTGAATTTCTGCAATGTCCCATTTGGTTCAATAATGTGGCTTACTACTACCATCCTATGGCAAATATACGTTGGACTTACGGACTTACTGCAGCTGATTATTCAATGTGGATTATATTATGTGGATAAAAGATCAGGTGGCTTACTACTACCATCCTATGGGAAATATATGTTGGACTTATGGATTTACTGATTATTCAATGTGGATTATATTATGTGGATAAAAGATCAGGGTATTTAATGGGTGTACTTCTTGACAGTGTTATCACAGTTTGCAGATGTCATGGAATTAAGCGTATGAAATCAAATATTATAGTTTTTTATTTATATATACAACCATTTGATTGCACAGTGCATGAAAGGTTTGGTGGTCAGTAGGTTGCATTTACACACACTAAAACATATATTTTTAATGATATTGTTTAAACAAAAAATTTTCTTCATTTGACTTAAACTTGTGTGTAAATACAGCCTATATATGGTAATTGACAAGCGAGACTTTGCCAGTCAGATTAAAATTGGAAGCTTTTGTCATGCAGATTTAAATGCCTAATGAAAAACAAACATTTGGAGATATATGTCTGGCAAAGTCTTGCTTGGTTGCATAGTTAAGCAGGAGGTACAAATGGTACCACAAGAGGATAAAGACACAGATTTCCCCAGCGAGTAGAGCAATTGTCTCTCTTCCCTTCCCCAACCATGCGCATAAGGGAGAGGATTGCTTGCTGGCTGGGTTGAGTTACTAACCTCCGGAACCCCCTCCAATTATGCCATATTAATATACAAAAATGACGCTTACGGGACAATTGTGGAACATTTGTCCAGATGGTGTCGTTTTCATATTTGTAACATATGGCATAATTGGTTTTCTTTTTTTCAGGTTTATGTTGCATGTTTAATTAAATTAATAATGTAAATGACCACCAATTGCAAGTATTGGGTGATATTAGGTAATTTAGGTTAAGAAAGTAGTTTAATTAATAATGTGCGTGCATGAAGTACCATAAAAAAGTCGAGCAATTAATGCTAAAAAAAATAAAAAAATATAACAAATCTAGTATTCAGACTGGTAAAGCACAAGCAAATTACAAATGAAAACTTGTGCAGTATGCTAAAAATGATATAAATTGTTGCAATATGGCGAATATACAATATGGTGAATACAATATGGCGAATTGTTAGTTATAGTATTAATTGTAGTTTCGGGTCAAGTAGAAAGTACAGAATGTAAATATATAATTCAATTGAATGTAATATTTAAATACAGATCGAGCAATAACTTGGTTGTAGTGTGTTTGCACTTCTGAAACCACCTGTTCATTCCTTTCTTTCACAAAATTCTGTGGTCTTTTCCTTCTGACAGTTACACTTGAGTCTTAGCTGTACGTATATTTCTTAATGTTTAATAAATTTTTATCCATACTGATATTCCATTTTTCTCTTTTTTTTAGATGAATCAACTTACAGATTTCTTACTTTTTATTTTTGCTAACATATTATATACTTTCTTTTTCTCATTTTTTAGGGTTTTTTTAATTTTTATGCATATTCACTAATATATTATATTCTTTCTTTTTCTCCTTTTTTAAGGTTTTCATAATTCTTCCTTTTTAGGTTCACTAACTTGTATACATGTTTTCTCTCTTTTATAGATTTTTTTCTTTTAGGTTAATCTGTTAATCTTCTCTATAAAACTTGTAAATATTTTTATTTAAAATAAAAGTCGTCAGCTGTGTCTGTGGTCCTTGATTGCATGAGAGAGGGTTTTCCTCCGGGTTGCCCGGTTTCCCTCTCTATATTTACACCCTTTTCTGATTGGCTTTGACATACAACATGCTACAAATATAAAATTCCAATATAAAAACCAACATTTATTGATGCAAACATGTGCACACAAAACACACTAAAATGAAAACCAAAACAAAAAACAGTGTCCGTGCTTCGGGACCAATTACGACTGGTTACGGGGTTAGATCCCCTGTGCACTGTCCATTAAGGGCAGCCATGCATAAGCGTACGAGACAGGGGGGCAAATGGCAACTGCCCCACACCCCCCCAAAAAAAAAAATTGGAAAACCATGGACATTCGGGCAAATGCTAGGAAAATGAAGAAAATACATTAAATTTTGGTAATTTCATTTCAATATTGACAAAAATTTGGGCAAACTTTCAAGTGCCCCCTCCCCCTCTTGAATGTATGAGGCCTGTATGCTTATGGCAGTATGTTGTAAACCAACAAAGCTTATAATATTCAACCCCCTGCTTCAACTAATACAGGTAAAGACTTGTATATAATAATTTATAAATTTATATATAGTTTATATTTATACAGTAATTCAGTAAACTGTTTTTGCTATTTAATGAACAAAGTATAGATGGATCAGTATATATAATATATATATTTACTCACTATTTTATTGAGGGGAATTTTTACAATAACTGATGTGTCTCCATCTTTCAGTGTTGATTTAATTTGGTCAATCTGCTCTGGTCAATCTGGTTTACTAGTATTACCGAATAAAGATCTTTATTCTGTCATTCCACAGTCATTCTGTGCTAGCATTTTGAGGCCAATATATCCGGAAGTAGACTTGCATCCGGAAGGTAAAATACTGGCAAGCCAAATAATAGCCCGTTCCCCCCTGATAACAGCATGGTTACAAGGAAATTCCGTAACTTGCATAGAGGGAAAAACGCCTACTTCGTAATTCATGGGGTTAAGGATGTTCGCTGCGCACCACGGCACATGGTCCGCGACCGAGTGGTTCGCGGACATTCCATCGCCACATGACTTGCAGTTGATACAAGCACAGTTAATACAAGCAATGTTCAGGAAAAACTGGCAAACAAAGGAAGTTCTGTCTGTGTCTCGTAAAAGCAGCCTCAAAGTAGTTATTTTGAAGACTAGTTGCATGATTGTGTGTATTTCGTGTCAAGGATTCGCAGTCGCTCATCTGTGAAATGTTATGGACTTTGAAGTACATACTCTGCATATTCAATAGACCATGAACTATTGAGACTAACCATATTTTGAGCTCCGAAGCGCGTTTTAACTTTTACAGAAAAGTCTGTTTATTACCTATAACACTTAGATTTTACAACATGTGTTCATTTTTATCACGATTTTTCAGCAAAATCACCGGAACAAGAACGCAAGACGAAGAAGAGGACTCCAAATTAGACTTTCTTGAAGGAGATGGGCGGGCATCCGTGACAAAGTCTGTACAACTCTTACTTGGTGCATGTTTCAATTCTGCTCTCTTTATTGTCATTGGGATTGCTGTGAAATGTATTGCAGGACCAGCTATGGTACTGGCTGTTATACTGGGAGCTGTCTTTAGTACCCTGAATAACCTATCCTTGTGTGAACTATGCAGTCGCTTTCCAACGAAGACAAGTTATTATGCGATAATTTATGACAATGTTGGCGAGCTCTGTGCATATATTGTTGCATGGTTTCAACTTCTACAAGTGCTTTTTATGGTGTCTGTGGTAAGCGTGACAGTAGGAGAATACATTTATTATCTTGCCAATCCCCCACCTCATATCTCGTGGCTACCTCCCCACAAATTTTGGGCAGCAATTGAACTTGATACATTAGTATTCACTGTTGTTTTTGTGGTTGTATTATCTTTGATTGTTTCGGTTGGCCTACGCTTATGCTCTGGTTACCTGACAGTATTATTTTGGATAAATTGTGCTGCATTTGTGTTCATGTTTATTGTGATTGTGTGCTATGCAGACACACTTCACTGGGTCGTTCCAGAAGACTTTCAACCATTTGAAATTATTGGAACAGTTCAAGGAATTGCAGTGACAATGTTCTTTTTTACACACCTAGACAGAATTATTGAACAAACATCTGAATTCAAAAAGACTGACTATGTTGTACCTGTCTCGTTAGGCGTTTCTTTGCTATGTGTTTTCGTATACTACCTATGTGCTACCATTTTTCTTGCAAATTTGATGTCAATTGAGGATATTGCAAAAGAAGCTACGATTCCAAAAGCATTTGCAAGTGCAACATTTTATGACTCAAAGTATGTCATATGTTCTGTAGCATTGCTCATTTTTGTGCTTACTATAGTAGAGGCATACCTTGGTGCCCAAAGAGTACTGGATTTATTAGTGGAGGATGGGTTGATGCATCATAAGTTTTCAAACTCAAAGAAAAAAACAAATTTTTTTTCGGTTTTATCAATTGCGTTTTTATCAATCCCGTTGTTCGTTTGGCTTCCAGTTGTTACCCTTATACAAGGATTCTGCATTTCATCATTAATTATAACACTGATTATAAACTGTACAACAGTTGTTGTTCAATACCAACCCGCTGAAAAAGAAGGTGAAGAGGAAACATCGGTTTTTCCAAATTGGGCGTACACAAAAAGTATGGTGATACGGTTTTTGCTATGTTGTGGATATATTACACATGAGAAAGTGCTTTCAACACTCGGCGTTAAGATAGATGTTGAGCCTACTGAACAGACAAGCAAGATTATTAATTGGTGTGTGGTTCTCTATGTTCCTTCGTGTCTTGGCCTCGCTCTGGCAATGATTTATGGCTTACCTGGACTGGGAAAGAACCAATGGGTTGTTGTAGGAGCTCTGATATTTCTAATTATTACAATATTCATCAATTTTCGTGTTATGCTGATGCAACCGAAGGGAAAATCATTTTTCTTTGAAAAGAATATTTTTGCATCCCTTATTCCACTGGTCAATATTGGATTATCATCCATCCTGTTGGTCACACTAGATTGGAAAGCATTTGTTGCTGTTGCTGTGTGGACAGGCTTAGGTAAGAAACCAATTATTTAGCAGTAATATCACATTAATTGGTGGTTTCAATCTCCTATTTTTTTTTAATCTGCAGGTCTGACATTCTACTTCTTATTTGGAATAACCTACAGCAATGAAGCAATTTTCAATCGAATTCAACAACTGGACGAAAAATCTCCAGGACGAGTGAGATTTGATGACCCACCTCAACTTTCCACAAGTTTAAGAAATGTTCAACCAGAGAACACAGATGCTGATTCTCAACAATTTTTATTTTCTGATGATACAGAACTGTTGGAGTTTCCTCAGAATAGATAATTTTGTACCTGAAGTGTTAGTCAGATTGTTGTAGTGAAAATAAAATACTTTCTCATATTTACTGCTGAGGGGAAGCTCCACACGCAAGCACAGCCTGACCAATGAACAAAAATATCTCGTATTTACAATAAATTGATTTGTACAAATTACTGCATCTCATCAAACTAATTATCACATGTTAGACTAAACCCAATTATAGTTAGCACTACAGCAAGTCAGCAACTACATAATAGCTTTTCTTTTAGCCGTAGTTCACCCTGGGAGTGGCCTACACCAAATACTGGGATAGTGCTGTGTCAGTATTAGTACTAGAAATGGGGCCATGTTTCAAAGAGCTTCTATATTTCAGTGCAATATTGAATTTGTGTAGAGTTAATTTGTGGCAGTGTTGTAGACCAGGTACTATAATATAGGTGATTTCATCATGGATAGATATTTTAATAGAACATGATTTATATCTTATCTTTGTGTAATTTGTTAAAGACGATTTAGATGATTTTGTAGACGAATTTTTGAAGAGAATAAAGCATTGGTAGTGTTCTTATTGCAGTTTTGAAAGGGGTTCTATGTTACTTTGAAATTTTGCTATTATTTTCTACCATCTTCATGCCCCAGTTCCAGTTTGGTCACAATTCATGTTGCTATTGGGGATTTTTTTTGGGGGGAGGGGTTCTGGTGTTACTCTGAGTGTTACTCATGTTGCAATTGGGTTTTTTTGGGTGGGTTACTCTGAGTGTCAACACAACAGGCAAGCTAAAAAATTGCTTGATTGTGGTGGGAATTGAACCTGCAACAATTGGATCCAAAGGTTGTGGGTTCGATTCCCACTGCGGTCTCATGCAATTGTTCAGCTTGGCCGCTGTGGAGACACTCTGTACAAAAAAATTGAAGTTCCGAAGTTCAACACCACAACCATCAGACGTTTACTCTGGAGAGGGATTCTAAGGGAGTGGTCATTTATGGGGAGGGGGGGGGGTTGGGAAATGGGAGGGGGGCAAAGTTTTACCCTTATAAATAAGGGGGGGTCAAAAAAGTTTTGACAGAGAAAGGAGTGGTCATAAAAGTTTTTGAACTTAAATACCATGTCTAGAGTTCTGATTTCTATAATCACAAATAGCAAAAAAGAAGACTCTGAAAATGCTATTTCCAACGATCTAGAGACTCAAAATTTTCAAAATTTCCCTGCTTGGCGCCAACCATGGTAGCGCCCCGCGATCGTGGGAGTCGGGCCCACTAAGTTTAACAAGCTTTCTACCCCCTGAGTGACCCAGTTGTGGTATTTACATAAACATACCATGCAAGTACACTTAACTGATCAGATTCGGTCTATCAACGCACAATGTAACGCTGTATATCCAATAATCTGTTTCAGAAAATGCTCACATTTCAGTTCTAGGGGTGGAAAAATACAAAAAATGTTCTGGGGAAGAATACCCCCACGATATACCACACCAAACTTTTTGTCACCAACAACCATCTGCAGACATTCCAACTCTCCCGATTTTACCGGGAGTCTCCCGAAAATTCATGCAATCTCCCGGTCTCCCGATTTTTCAGAATATTCAGGAAATATCATAAAAAATTATAAATATACTGTTTTTAGCAACATAATAGTCTGTCTTGACCTTTTTTGAAGTTGCTTTATGGCAATTTATAGGATCACTTATAACAACATAGTCCCAAAATGCAGGAAACGCCATTTCAGAAGACTTAATTTTTATTATTTTTTCCCAGAAGAACTAGATTTCAATTCACTGAACAGTCTCCCTAAATTTTACCTCCAGTGGTTGGAATGTCTGCATCTGTCATCGCTACACACTCAATATAGTATGGTCCCTTTTTGTAGATGCCCACCCCCCAGACAAGTTCTTAAAAAACCCTGTGTTCAATTCATTTCACTGTATGAAGACGGGTCATGGGTTAGGGTTATGGTAGGACAAATGTTGCATTGCAAAGTAGTAACACATAATATATATTTTTTAATCATATATGGTTGAATCATATTCACCAGGGTAAAACATCATGAGCTAGATTAAACAGATTGTCCTAATATCTAACTTT